AAAATCAGGCTTTAAATTATAAAGTAACATAAGCTCATATGCTTTTGATAATGTCCTACATAAAATGCTCTAATATGTCTAGTATTATAGCAAAGTGAGATGATATGTTTTGGGAAAAATCCTGTGGAGGATGGAGAAAACAAAAGACAAATGTTCCTGAGGAAAAAAGTATAAACAGATGGGCTATGTAACGAATCCTAAAGAAAGTAAATGCTAATGCTTTAGAGAAAGATAGTAGGAACTTGTTGTATCTTGTGTGTGTACATATACACTATAGCATTTTCCCAGTCTGTGATGGTATGTGCAGTTTCTGAGTAGTAAATTAAAATAATGTGTACATATTTAAAAATAATTTGCACCATTCCTATTATCTCTGACATGCTAAAAGGCCCTCCCGTTGATCGTCGATTTGCTCGAGCGGGCCCAGTAATGTCTCCATTGGAGACTTTGTTGTTACTGTGTTTGGCATATCAAATACTCTCGGTAGCTTGCCGGGCTCTCCGAGAGGGGTGGAGGAATCGAACTTGGGTCGGCCATGTTGGCCGCTTGTTGAGAACTACCAGTAGTGATCCCTCATAACAGAGCCAGAAATAATTTCTAAGCACAGCAGAGTGTGGACCACAGCAAAAGGAGTGGGGAGAGGAGGGAAGGCAAGGGGAGAGGAGGGGAGGGGAGGGTATAGGTGAAGAGAGCAGGGGAGGAGAGAAGGAAGAAGGGAGGGGAGGGGAGATTAAGGGAGAGGAGAGGAGAGGAGAGGAGAGGAGAGGAGAGGAGAGGAGAGGAGAGGAGAGGAGAGGAGAGGAGAGGAGAGGAGAGGAGAGGAGAGGAGAGGAGAGGAAAGGAAAGAGAGGAGAGGAGGGAGAGGGGAGGGGAAGAGAGGAGAGGACAGGAGGGGAGGGGAGAGGGGGAGAGGGGAGGGGAAAGAGGAGAAGAAAGATATCTCTTCCTTTGCAACAGGACCATAAGAGTGTCTGCATATCACTTCCAACACAGTAGGAGGCATCAAAGTGGAGGGGAATTAATACTAGGTGTTCGAGTAGGAATTAGACTGTAGAACCCTTAGAGGAAGGTGTAGAGCACACTTTGATGGCAAAAAATGATGAAAACCTAAAGAAAAATTCTATTTGTTCTCCTTCAAGTACTTCTTGTCACATCACATACAGAGAAATAAATAAATCATACGTGATTTTATCTTTCCAGTACACTTTCTTCTATCATAAATTTCATTGATATTATTGCAATTTTTGTAATGAGTCCTCAGTGTAGGAGTTAGTTTAACAATATATGATATAAATATGATATTAAATTAAAAACATGATGTCTTTAGCTTAGAGTTGTTGAACTTCTGTAGGTTGACTTTAAATCAAATGACAACTTACTCATTTTTTATTAATTAAAAATAAATGACATATATATGAAAGTAATAGCATTTCATATTTTAGAAGAGACATTCTATATTCTCTGAATAAGTTGCCATAACATTTTCTAAAAGAAATTCAATAAGATAAAAAGTTTTTGTATGTTACCTTATTACAACAACTTTTGCTTAATTGTTAAATATGGGTTGGATTTAAAAAGACTTCCTAGTGTCTAACTAAAAGGTAACATTTTTAATTTTTTTATTTGTAGGAAAATGATAATAAAACATATTCCATAATTGAATTATTTTGTACATTTGGCAAAAATGAAACTATAAAAATTATTCACAGAAATTGACATTACATTAAAAAACATATCCTAACTTTCACCCATATAAATCAATTTACAAAAGCAGAAGTAAAGTTTAACTATACTCTTGCAATATGTGTTGTCATTTCCCTGAACTTTTTATTATTACCATTTATTTGCTGCAATTCAGTTCAGGAAGAACAATGTCTGCTTACTAATAGTTGAACAGTTTCACATTCTGGTATTAATTTATTTTTAATTAATATTATTATGTCAGTTTTCAGAAATTTAGAAATATGTGCTGTTAGCAATACCAATAACCCTAAAGAACTGAATTTAATAGAAGCCGTTGTGCAAAAATTGCAAAAGGAGTATTCACCCTATAATCATAAAATGTCCATGTCACTTCTGTTCATGGTAATTAATTAAAGGAAGTGTTGCTATTATGTGCAAACAGAGAATCTGAGAAACTTAGAAAGCTTATAGGTTTCCAAGTGAAATTAAGTCAATCTGGCCATGGGCAATCAAATGTAATGAAATCAATTGTCAGTGCTAAGCTTGCAAAAAATGTGAAGTTTGAGGACAGAGTAAATGTATCTTGATTAGATTTTCAATAGGGTAATATCTAAATGGGAGAACGGAGTAAAGAGGAAATATGACTTTGGAGCTAATGGTACTGCTGTTCAGTTTTAGTTTTTGCCAGCACATTTGTAACTGTGCTTATTTAACTTGATTTTATCAGTAAAACCCCAATACTATGCAAATAGTACTTGGGTGTGACTTTTAATGAAACATTAAACTTCATGTGTAGTTAATGTCCTCGTATGTTTATTTTGTTTGAAATGGAGATTGTTTAATAAAATGGCTGATAATGTATCTTGTAGGTCCACAGTTATGTGAATCTGTGTGGGAATATATTACTGTATATCTTCCACACAATTCTTTATCTCCAACCACAGTGGACAAGGATCATATTACTGTGTGTTCATTATTTGATCACTTGAAAATACTCAGGAGTTGTTATAAACTACTAAAATGAAACAAAATAAACAATCAGAAGGTTTTCTAATTATTATGTCTCATCTGTCAAATAAGGTCAAAACACATGAAAAAAGTAAGTTGAGGAGATTTAGAATGCAAGTAAGAAATCTTGAGTATGGGCAATTTACATTAAAATTCATGTACAAATGATTATAAAAGTATAGATTTGTAAGAGAGCCTAAAGGACTTTGCATATGAGAGGCTTGGATTTGAAACCAAGAAATACATGCTTTCCTGATGTCCACTAGGATTGATTCCTAAGCCTTGATCTTGAAGTGGTCTCCAAGGACCACCATATGAGATCCCAAACAAAACCATAAAATTAGATATGGGCCTGAGATCTGATCCTCATTCAGTTTCTGTTGAGCACCTCCAGAAGTTATTCCTGAGCATAAAGTCAAAAGTAAACTGAGTACTGCCAGTTGTAGTCCTCAAACTAGGCCCCCACACCTAAATAAAGTGTTTTGGAAAACTATGACTATTTCTCAATAAACTAGAAATTGAGTTTCCATACCACCCAGCAATACTACTCTATGGGAATATACCCCAGGGGTGAAAAAATACAAAGCAAAACTTCCATCTGCACTTCTCTGTTCATTTCAGTACTCTTCACAATAGTCTGAATCTGGAAACAGTTTGAGTTCCGAATAACAAATGACTGGTTAAAGAAACTATGGCACATCTTCTCAATGGAATACAATGCAGTCACGAAAACTAAAGTCATGAAATTTGCTTATAAATGGAGGGCCATGGAGAGTATCATGCTGAGTGAAATGAGTCAGAAAGAGAGGGTCAGATATAGAATGGTTGCACTTATTGTAGGATATAAAAATCATAGTATGATACTAATAAGGAAACAAGGGTCAGGAAGATTGGTCCACATTTGGAAGTCCGCCTTTAGTGCTGGAGGAGAAGGCAGTTGGAATAGAAAAGGGGCCTCTATGACAATGATAGTTGGAAATGATCACCCTGGACAAGAATTGCATCTGAAAGTAGGTAAAAGAATAATCAGGATGGATGTTTGAACATTGTATGACTAAAACCCAACCATGAATAGCTTTTCAACTGTTTATTTCTTGGCGATTCAATAAAAAGAAGACATTATTTCATAAATTCTATGTGATCAAGTAACATTCTTCTAGAGCTCTCTAAATAATTCTTAAAGCAATGTTTAAGTGGAATTAAATTAATTTCAAAGAGATAGCACAGAGTGAATGGCCGATTTTTACATAACAAACCTGCTGGCACTAGAAACAGAAAAGGACTTCATTAGTGTTGGAATTGTTTGCAGTAATTAATCTTGAGAATGGCATTATATCGGCATGCATGAATTGACTCTCAAAATAAATCTAGGAAGTAATCTCTCCAATACCATAAGGGGCATATTAAAGAAAGTTTAACATATCAAAATAGTAAAAATAATTCATAGAAGAAAAAAACTGTATCATAGAACAAAATTAATCGGAAACGTGGAAAATAATGGCTAATTTTTCATTTTGTTGTCTATGCATATTTTCTTTTAAAATATTTTAAGGACAATTAAAAGAAACTTCCATAAAACTTTAATTTTTTAAAAAAATCTGTGATTTACAGTTATTGTAAGTAGTTATTTAGAGTTACTGATTAAATTAATGAAATAAGGAATGTTATTTAATTAAAGAATCATGATTTACAAAATTATTGATAGTTTATTCTCAGGCATACAATATTCCAAAACCAGTCCCACCACCAACTTCAGATTCCATTGACCAGTATTCCCAGGCTCATTATCACACCCAACCTCTGACCCTTCCCTGACCAGCCACTTTGACAGCATATTACAAAGTTCGGCAGTTGTAGTTTAGATATCATATTTTCATTGTTGTTGTGTCTGTTTTGGATATATAGCTATACCACTCTTCTGCATCACCAGTAGCACTAAGACATCTGACTCTGTTCCTGCATTACACATTTTTTTACTTACATAGAGATATATAAATGTATTCTTTGATTCTGAGCATCTTAAATAATAAGTAATATTATATGCATTCCTTAGGAAATTGCTTGGCCTTTTAGGGGGTGGTTGTGGTGGTGCTGGGGATTGAACCCAGGCACTCACACCTGCAGACATGTGCTTACTGCTGAACCATGGCCCAGGACAATATGTAATTATTTGGATAGATTCATTTGGTAACCTATATTTTAGTTCTGGTCATATTTTACACATTCATCTAGGTATAAATAAAGAACATATTTTTTTCAAAACCAATTTATCTCATCAGGTGATGTGGTTTTTTTTGCACTCTGCCTACCCGGGTTTGATCCCTGGCAATCCATATGGACTGCTGAGCGCACAGCCAGGAGCAAGCCGAAAGCATTGCGGGATGTGACCTAAAAATAAACAAACAAACCAAAAAAAAAATAACCAGATTATCTAATATGTAAATCTGCTAGTATTTTCATATTGACATCGTGCTTCCACTTTATTTTTTCATGAATTGACAGTGGTAACTTTATCATTTACATTGCTTAAGTGTTGTTCTTAAAGGTAAGATTATGTGCTTTTCCATTAGTATCACATGTATTGACAATATTGTTTAACATAATGTCACATTAAAAAAGTTATTTTAAACCCATATTAATGGACCATTTATTGACAATATTAACCACAAAAACAGGGCAATTTGATTTGTAATTTTAAACAAAAATACTCTTGCTTTTTGAAAAATTTCAAAAACCTTATTAAAATACGGGGAAAGATAATGAACAGGTGCTTCTTGGAGAAAGACAGACAGATGGCCAATAGGCACAGAAAAAATAATCATCATCACTTATCATCAGGGAAATACAAATCAGGATGACAATTAGATATCATATCACACCAGTGAGAATAGAACATATCAAAGTACGTGGGAATAATATGTTGGTGGTGAAAAAACAATTCTCAACCACTGCTGATGTAAACGTTGTCTTGTTCAATCCTTTAAAAAACAGTATAGGGAGTCTCAGTAAACTAAGAATGAAGGTGCCATAAGACCCAGAAATTCCACTTCTGGGTATCTACTTCCAGGACATGCACATAATTATTCACTGAAGCATTTAGTACAATACCTAATATATGTAATTAATCTATGTTTTCAATGACAGATGAATATATTATGAATACATGATATACGTACACAACAGAATACATGGTAGCTGCAAGAAACGATGAAATTATGCAATATTTTTGGGACTGGGAAAAGGGACTGGGAGATATCATGTTGAGTGAAGTAAGTCAGAAGGACAAACATAGCATGATCTTACTTATGCAGTAAAAGTGAGATGCCTAAATCATTCTTTACTCCAGAATATAGAGAAGATAGGGATAGAGAAGGAAAGAAATTGAAGGTGCAAAGAAAGAAGATGAGGAAGGGAAATGAGGGAGAAGAGGTCAAGGACCTCAGGTACATCAGTTTTGTGGAGGTGTGGTACAGCTAAGTTTCCAAACCACAGAGTCAACGACACTGAAAATTAGATCCAAACTATAATAGACAATCTTTAAAATGTACCTGTAAAGATGGAAGGTTGGGGAAGTAGGAGGGAATTGGGCACACTGGTGAAGGGAAGTTGACATTGCTGAAGGGATTGGTGCTAGAACATTATATGCCTAAACCTTAACTATCAATAACTTATAAAAACCTTTTAAAATAAAATATCATTTAAAAATTTCATCTCAGTCCTTTCAAACATATATAAAACTCTTCAATGTCGAGTCAACAAATCTGACAAAACCTTTAAAACTACTTTTATTGAAAGCAAATATTAAATATGCTCTTACCTAAGCACAATTTGATATAAATTATTTTCATAATTTCTTTAAATAAAAACTAATTAAATGCAGAATGAATCTATTTTTGCTTATACCACCTAATAGATCTCCCATGAATAAGACACCTGTTGTTTATTAAGTAATTTTGGGATTGCTTGTATGTTTGGATTTAGGAGAGCTATTACTATGTGATCTAAGTGTATAATGAAATTAAGCAAATGGCAATCATTTTGGAGTATAGTTTTAAAGGATAATTAAAAGTACAATCTACTGGTTGTATGTTTGTCTTATCTCTAAATTCCAAAGTTACGCTTGCATTTCACTTAAATAAGGGAACAATCAGTCTCAGAGCTCCGTGGTGGGAAATGGGCACTGGTGGACGGATGGGTATTTGATCATTGTATAATTGAAACACAAGCACAAAAATTTGTAAGTCTACAACTGTACCTCATGATGTCTAACTAATAATAATTAAAAATAAATAAATAAATTTAAAAAAAGATAAACCCGATCTGGGGCTGGAGAGATAACACAGCAGGTAGGGCGTTTGCCTTGCACGCGGCTGACGGGTTCGATTCCCAGCATCCCATATGGTCCCCTGAGCACCGCCAGGAGTGACTCCTGAGTGCAGAGCCAGGAGTAACCCCTGTGCATCGCCAGATGTGAACCAAAAAAAGCAAAAAAAAAAAAAAAACCAACAAAAAAGATAAACAAGATCTACATTTGGTTTATCAGTAATTCATAAGGAATCAGATGTTTCTGTCATCCATACCTTGGCATATGTGGAGACAGCCTTAAATAGTGGTACCCAACAACGTTGGAGTCTTCTTTAATAAATTTAACTGTAGCACATTGATTAAATACTGAGTTCCATTAAAATTTACTTCTCTCACACACACTGAGTACTTAAGTTGAGGGAAGACAGCAGGTGAGTGAGAAGAATACAGGTGAGAAACAGGAAAATGTTCATTCAATGTTCCAAAAGTGAATATTTCCGTTTTTCAAAGTTAATGCATTACTTATACATATTCAACTGCAACATAATCAGATGCACCAGAAGATCATTGAGCTCTGTCACACTGTTGATTTTGTAAAGTAAAAAAACAAAGCTGTATAAATTATTTTCTAAAATTTCTGAAGCTGGTGACCTTCTGATTAACCCAGCTATCATTTTTTGATCTCATACCATTTTCATGGGCTGGAGTGATAGCAGAGCGGGTAGGGCGTTTGCCTTGCGAGCTTCTGACCTGAGTTCGATTCCTCTACCCCTCTCGAAGAGCCTGGCAAGCTACTGAGAGTATCTCTTCCGCACAGCAAAGCCTGGCAAGCTACCCATTATGTACAGTAACAACAAGTCTCACAATTTGTTGTGAGACGTTACTGGTGCCTACTCGAGCAAATCGATGAACGGGAGGAAAATGCTACAGTGCTATCATTTTAATGTAGATTTAGTTATCATAAAGAAAAAAGGTATTGATTGAGCTTCCAGAATGCAACATATCTCTGCAGCTATCTTCCTCTTTTATTCAAGTGAGACATGTTTTTCTTTAAAAATGAAAATAAATGTAACCTACATGCAAATGGCCATGAAACATCACTAGAACCACACTGAAAAAAGCTCCAGAGTCAAAATCAATTTTTTACTTTTAGTTATTTTTGCAGTCCAGAAAAACTATAAGAAAATGCCATGCATTTTCTTTGGTACTGATTAAAAAATGTTTAAAACACTCGAGTCATTTATGGAACTCTTTTAAGCTGAAATTAAGTTATATTCATTTTAATATTTAATCAACTTAAAAAAATAATTTAAGATAAGCATCCAGGCATATAAGTTTTTTATGACAATTATTATCTTTAATTAAAATATTTACAGGGCCTGTGTGGTTTGATGGGCTGGAGCGATAGCACAGCGGTAGGGCGTTTGCCTTGCACGCAGTGAACATGGCCGACCTGAGTTGGATTCCTCCGCCCCTCTCGGAGAGCCCGGCAAGCTACAGAGAGAATCTCGCTAGAACGGCAGAGCCTGACAAGCTACCCATGATGTATTCAATATGCCAAACACAGTAACAACAAAGTCTCCAATGGAGACATTACTGGGCCCACTTGAGCAAATCGATGAACAATGGGAGGACAGTGACAGTGACAGTGACAGTGTGTTTTGATATTTTAAAGTAAATTTAGTGGTATATTTAGTAACATTTTGTAATTATTGTATTACAAATATGTAACACATGCAATATTCAATATACACAAAAAATATTTTTTCTCTTATAATAACTCATTTGACATATTTCGAATGTAATGTTGTATGGAAAAAATGAAATTATAATCATTATTTCAGTGCTTAGAAAATTTGGCTTATTGTGAGCACTGGAACCACCTTCCTGTAGAAAGATGGGACTCTGTGGCAGAAGCAAGATTTTTAAAACTGGGAAGAAAAACTGTAGCGGGAACACATGCATCTGGTAACCATGGTGACCAACCCTGATCAGCATCGCTAATGTACGGCTCCTCCAACACTCACGGCAGACCAGCGGTGGTTGTGGTTTCTTGAGAACCCAACATATCACATTTAATTCCCCCTTTCAAATCCCATAATACCTACATATTCATCTTGGACTCATGCTAAACCATATTAGCAAGGCTAACCCAAACATATTAGCCCAATAGTCCATTAGCCCCAACTTCAATCAACATTTCCCCCAAACTCACACAAAAAATAATGGTGAGCACAAGAAAAAATACAACATTAATCAAAAGTAAGAGTAAATTCAGGCCAAATAACACATTCCCCGAAATAGCACAAAAACTTCAACTCAATTACAAGGAACACCAAAGAGAAGGGAGTATCCTTAATGGGGAAAGAAGAGTCCACCACTCAGAGCTCCCCCAGAGTCCTCCCTAGCAGTGAGATCTGGAGATGCTGATGGTGTATTGGAAATTGAACAGCTAGATAGTGAACAGTGGGTTAGAAAGGAACTCAAAGAGGATGTCAAAAGATTCCTGAAAACTAATGAGATTGCAGACACAAGCTAGTAGAACTTGTGGGATACAGCAAAAGTAGTGTTAAGAGGAAAATATGGCTTTTCAGGCATACATCAGGAAGGAAAAAAAGGTACACATAAATAATTTGACATCACGGCTTCAGATCCTGGAAAATGACCAAAAAAAGGAGTCCAGACCAGGAAGGAGGAAGAAAATAACAATACAAAAGATCAATGAAACCAAGAGCTGGTTCTTTTTATTATTGAATCACTATGAAATACACGGTTACAAAGTTGTTTGTGATTGTGTTTCAGTTATAAGATGCTTCAATAGCCATCCAGTCATCAGTTACATTTCCCACCATCATGTCCCCAGTTTCGCTGCAGCCACCAACCCCATCGCTCAACACCACCCCAGTTTGCCCCTAAGGTAGGCACTCATTTTTTTCTTTCACTCTCTCTTTCCTTCTGAAACTATGGTTTTCAGTACAGTTACTGACAAGTCATAATGTATATCCATTTACCTTCTCTCAGCACGATATTTGTGTCCAGAATAATCATTACCAACTACAAAACAATAAAATATGATATTAGTATCCATAAACAGCAGAGAAAAGGGCCAGAAGAACTTGTCCACTGTTTGAAGCTTTCCACAAATAGAGTGGGGCAGTTACAATAGAAAAGGGACTACTATGACTAGAACTGGCTCTCTGAGAAAAACAAACAAGATAGATAAACCACTAGCAAGACTCACAAATAGATAGAACCCTAATAAACCAAATCAGAAATGGAAGAGCATATATCACAACAGAAACTACAGACATTTAAAGAATCATCAGAGTTTACTTTGATAACCTTTATGCCATGAAACAAGAGAATATGAAAGAAATGGATAAATTTCTAGATTTCTATAACTTCTCATGACTGAAGCAAGGGTATTTGGAATGCATGAATAGACCTATCAGTATTGAGGAAACTAAATGGAAATCAAAAGTATTCCCAAAAACAAATGCCCCGAACCAGATGGATTCATGACTGAATTATTCCAAACCTTTAAAGCGAAACTATTGCCAACACTTTTTGAGTTTTTCCAAGAAACTGAAGAAAGAGAAACATTCCTAAATGTTTCTGTGTGTCAAATATCATTCTGATACCAAAAGCAGATGGAGACACCAGAAAAACAGAGAATTACAGTACTATATTCCAAATGAATAGCGATGCAAAGAATCCCAACAAAATTCTAGAAAACAGAATCCAACAACTCATCAAAAAGATCACACAACATGATCAAGTAGGATTCGTTCAGAGAATACAAGGCTGCTTTAACATCAGCACATCAATCAACATAATACACCATATCAATAAAAGAAAAGATAAAAAAATAGGCTCATATAAATAGACTCAGAGACAGCATTTGACATGATCCAACACAATATCATGATGAAAGCTTTCAACAAAATGGGAGTTCAAGGAACACTCCTCAATGTAGTCAAAGATGTCTACCACAAGTGCAGAGCAAGCATTATTCTCAATGGGCAAAAACTAAAATCCTTCCCTCTAAGATCAGACACAAGACAAGGTTACCCACACTTACCATTACTATTCAATATAGTATGAGAAGTACTTTTCACAGCAGTTAAGCAAGAAAAAAGATAACAAGGGTATCCAGATAGGAAAGAAAGAAGTCAAGCTGTTATTTTTTGCTGATGATATGATGATAAGAAAATCCTAAAGACTGTACAAAAGGGTCCTAGAAACAATAGGCTAGAATAGGAAAGCAGCAGGCTACAAAATCAATAGCCACAGCTCATGGCTTTCCGTTATAGAAATAATTAAAGAGAAGAAAACAATATTAGAAAAATGACCACATTCAAAAATGTGCAACAGAAAATCAAATACCACAGAATCCACTTAAATAAAGTGGTGAAGCACCTATTCACAGATAACTACAAAATACTACTCTAAGAAATAAAAGAGAACATGAGAAAATGGAAAAACATTACCTGCTCATGAATGGGGAGGATTAATTTTGTCAAAATGGCAATACTTCCCAAAGCATTATAGAAATTCAATGCAATGCCTACTATAAGGATACACATGCCCTTTTTTTCAAAGAAATAGATAAAAAACTCCGAAGACTTATGTGGAAAAATTAGCCCCCACGAATAGCTAAAGCAATTCTGGGGGAAAGAGGGTAGAATGCATCATCTTGTCCAACTTCAAACTGTACTACAAACCGGTAGTTAAAACATCATGGTATTGGAATAAAGATAGAGTGGCACATTATTCAAATAGACTTGAATATCCTAAATCATACTTCCAAATATAAGATTATTTAATTTTTGATAAAGGAGAAAGAAATGTGAAGTAAGGAAAGGCTCTTAAAAAGTGGTGCTGGGAAAATTGGGCTGATACATATAAAAATTAAATCAGACCTTTATCTACCATCATGTACAAAATTTAAAAAAATTAATAAAAGACATCAACATCAGACCTGAATCCCATAATGTACTTGGAGGAAAACATAAGCAGAACCCTCCATGACATTGAAGTTAAAGTAAGTCATCTTCAACAATGAAACATCACTGACAAAACAAGTAGAAACAGTGATAAACAAATGGAACGACATTAAACAAAGAAGCCTCTTACCAAGATACAAAAACAACCCAGGGAAAAGAAAAAATTGTTTACCCAATACTCATCTGATCACTGTATCACTGTCATCACTGTCATCCCGTTGATCATGGTTTACTCGAGCAGGTGCAAGTAACGTCTTTATTCCTCCCAGCTCTGAGATTTTAGCAGTCTTTTCTTACTCATCTTTTCCCAACAAAGTTGGGAAAAGCCCATATAATAAGGGGTAAGTATCCAATATATATAAGGCACCGGTATAAGTTTACAAGGATAAAGCATCCAACCCCATCAAATAATGGGAAGAAGAAATGAACATAAACTTCTTCAAAGAAGAAACTGAAGTGGCCATGGGGCACATGAAAAATTCTCTACATCATTAAGGGAGATGTGATTCAAAACAACAATGAGATACCATCTAACACCACAGAGACTGGCACACACACAAAAGAACAAGATCAACCACTGCTAGTGTGTATGGGGGGAGAAACGAACCCTCATTCATTGTTGGTATGAATGTTAACAGGAAAAGCCTTTTTGGAAAACAATATGGGCATTCCTTAAAAAAAAAACCTAGAAATTGAGCTCCCATTTGTTTCAGCAATAGCATTTATCGACATATACCCTGTGAGTCCCTTGGAGGAGGGTGGGTTGAGTTTCCCTCCCCACCCCGAGCAGAGCTCTGGCAGCTGAAGACCTCCGGTTCCAGCCACAGCCATGCTTAAGACCACTCTTCACACGTTCAGACGAGACACATGCATGAAGGAACCGGCAGAGGAACCCAAGTGTGTGGGACCCGGGGCATAGATCTCCAAGCCTGCTCGGACTGGGACGGGGACCTCCTCCACCCAGATCCCTCATTTTCCAGGCGTTACACCCACCAACTGCCCCCAGTGCCGTGTAATTCCATCAACGGCCAAGACTCAGAGACTAAAAAACTCTGCTCCCAGAAGTGCACCGCCACATTTGCGGCCGCACGACACTTTTTTTTTTTAAATCTAGGTCTTACTCTGGAGTACCTGGCAGGCTACCAAAAGTATCCTGCCCACACGGCAGAGTCTGGCAAACTCCCCGTGGCGTATTCAATATGCCAAAAACCAGTAACAATGATGGGTCTCATTCTCCTGACCCTGAAAGAGCTTTGAATGTGGCACTTTTTAAAATCTCAGGGCTAGGACGAAGGAGACGTTACTGGGGCCTGCTCAAGGCAATCAATGACCAACAGGATGACAGTAATACAGTGATACCCTGTGGGCACAGAAACACATAATAGAAATGCCATCTGCGCTTCTATATTCCTTGCAATCCTATCCACATTAACCAGAATCTGGAAACAATCTGAGTGCCCAAGAACGGATTACTGGACAATCAGCTAATCAGTGGCTGAATAAATAGCAGTACTCCTACATTAAAAAAAGATGGATTACTGGATAAATATATTATAATACATCTACACAAAGAAATACTACGTAGGTATTAGGAAAAATGAAGCCATAAAATTTGCTTATAAATGAATGGACAGGGAAATTATCATACTGTGTGAAATGAGTCAGAAGGAGAAATACAGGCGTAGAATGAATGCACTCATTTTGGGGATAAGAATATACATAGTATGAGACTATAATCCGAGGACAGAAGAAACATTCTCCAGGAGGAATAGTCCAAGGTTTGAAGTTTGATACAGTGTTTGTGGGGTGGGCAGAGGGCTTTTAGGATAAGGGAATATCCATAATGATAATAATAGGAATGATCACTGATCACTCTAGACAAGAACTGAGTGATGAAATTAGGTAAATATATATATATATGGCTGGAGCGATAGCACAGCGGTAGGGCGTTCGCCTTACAAGCGGCCAACATGGCTGACCCGAGTTCGATTCCTCCGCCCCTCTCGGAGAGCCCGGCAAGCTACTGAGAGTATTCGATATGCCAGACACAGTAACAACAAAGTCTCCAGTGGAGACGTTACTGGGCCCGCTCGAGCAAATCGACGATCAACGGGAGGGCCTTTACCTTTACCTTATATATATATGATAACTTTTCAGTGCCTGCATTTTAAACCATAATGATGCCCAAAAAGAAAGAGAGAGAGAGAGAGAGAGAAAGAAAGATGCCTTCCATAGAGGCAGGTGGGGGCATAGTACAGGAAGGAAACCAGTGACAATGGTGATGGGAAATGTTCATTGATGAAGGGACTGATGATGGAACATTGCATGACTATAAGTCAATCATGAATTACTTTGTACTGTGTATCTCAAAGTAATTCAATAAAAAGTTTAAAAAAGAAAAAAAAGAAAAAAACCTTTTTGATCCAGAAAAAAATAAAAATTGGCTTTTCAAATTTTGTTTATAAAATAAACAAGTAAATAAATTGAATATTAACTTAAATTGTTATTTTCTCTGTCACTTTGTTAAATAAAAATGTAGTAAGAGTTCATATAGCTTTCTACTTCTCATGTATTCACAATGTATTCACTATGCATTTTTTAAATGTCTAATGAATAACTATGCATATTTAACTGATAATATATTGCATTTTTAAAATATGTATAAGTTTCCTTATGTGTATGTTTATTTAATCTTAAAGCGACACTGAGATTTTATATTCTCTTGTAAAGATTTAATCTTATTTCTTTATTTTGAAGGGAATCAAAGTAGAATCCCTATCCCTGGTTCATATATAATGCAGTTGTAGATATACTGTTTTCTGACTGTACCTTCCATGGCAGTAGTATCATGAGGAATCCCAGTGCTTTCTACATCAACATTTTGAATCCCGGTATCTGAAATAAGTGACAATCAACATTAAAATACAATTCAAGGTTTTCTGACAATTTAAAGACCACTGTTTTGATGCTTTAAATCATACAAGGCACTAAGTGGTATTTAAAAAAATATTTATTGAATCACCATGAGATAGCACATTACAAAATTGCTACGCAGTATTTTAAGAATATATACTGGAGAATATCTCTTATAAACTGCAGCTGAGTTCTGCAACTATATCTCTGAGTATATAGAAAATGTTCCTTTATGTCTTCCATTCTCTAGAGAAAATACAAAGTTAAATTTTGTCCTACAAAATTTCACTATGACAATCAGATAATAATCTATGACTGTTAAATGAGGGACATATGTTCAATAAATAAGGGGACTTATCAAAACTGTATTGTATATATTCTATTTAGGATTTGAAAATGATATTCTCTCTATGCTAAGCACAAATGAAAACCAAAATAAATGCAGTTTGTGGAATAAAAGACAAAAAATGCAGTTTGTGACCTTATGTAATACTGGCTCCAACAACAGAGAGATGGATAAATTTTTTAAAGAGAGGGCCCAGAGCAATAGAACAGTGCATAAGGTGCTTGCCTTGTATGGAGCACTATGGGTTTAATCCCTTGCACTGTGTATAGTTCCTCAAACCCTTTACTGCAGGATGTGAAACCAAAACCAAAACAGAAATTTTAAAAAGCGGAAAAGAAATAGAGAGATAAACTTTAAAATTTTAATTTTGTAATCTAAAATTTGTCAACGTCCACAAAGCACACTTTAAAACAGACATTTTTGTTCATATATATTGGGACTCCATTAAATTATGTGATAACCGATGCTACTGAAAATGAACAGATTACCAAAGTCAAAAAATCAATGTGAAAATAAAATTATTTTAATTCAAGGAACTCATTATGCTATGGAAACACCTTGTGTACATTTATTAGAGAAAATTGAGCTAGAGTGGAATTCATTTCCTCTTTTGTTTTTATATATATAAATAGAGAGGGAGGGAGAGATGTTAACCTTCTTGACAAATTGAAGCCAGCAGAATCATATAATGAGCCACCACAATTTATCCTATTGTTGGTTCAAATCATAATTTTAAGAAATTTATGAGCTATACTGCTATTTCCCGCTGTCTAAAACATGGAATTACATGTGGTACAATTTTATTGTCATGTATTTGATGCCTGAGCTGAGATTAAACAATGTTATGGATTTGACTAAAAAATTTTTAAGAAAAGTTTTTTTGTTAATACTGAGATTCCATGACAAGAGCAACTCTTGACTTAAGATCTCTGAGGATTTATCCACAACATTATTTTTCCACAAGATTTTCCTTTCTTCACCAAATGTGCATACTTCAATGTCGACACAATATGCATTAAAGGACCCCCATATCTTATATCTTCTTAAAATGGTGTACATAAAATATCAGCATACTTTAACATAAATGACAAAATACACTTAGGTTATCAGCATTAATACATGTGTTACAAAATTAAGCAGGATTTTCTATCATTATCTTATTTAAATAGCTGAATATTGGAATGATTTTGGAAGATTTGATTAATGACATATAGCCCTTCCTTTCTTCCTTTCTCCCTCCCTCCCTTCTTTCCTTCCTCCTTCCTTCCTTCCTTCCTTCCTTCCTTCCTTCCTTCCTTCCTTCACATTAACCTTCCTTTTCTTTCATTTTTAAATTTGTGGTTTGATTTATATGCTTAGGATGTGAAATTCAAAATCAGATATTACCATCCAAAATGCTCAGGCTGCTGTCAGCAGTTGTGTTTTGCTTAAGTACTTGTTCAACTTGCTCCCTGCGTTTTGATTCAAATTCCAAAGCTTCTAGCAGTTTTCTCTTGGCTCTTTTCTCTTTCTTCAGGCGCTTTTGCATAGTATCTAAAATTTAAAAAGGGAAATTATTTGCAAAGACTTCGTCAGTGAAACACGTTTACCACGTCTGATGAACTGTGAAATATAGATTATAAATATGAAGAGACAATATATCTGATGCAGATAAATGTATCATTAGATACTTTTGGTTCCATTTCACATTAGAGTCATCTAAATAGTGTTTAGTCATTTGACAAGATTTTGCTTTTACCTTTCTAATATTTTTGTCCTAATATTTTTGTCCTTCCAAAGCATTTGTATGGAACAGTAATAGTGGTAGAGAATCACTTTCTAATTTGACTATGTGCTCTTAGTGATATTAAATATTGTATAAATATCTAAATTTTATTCATCAAATAATTGCTATCCATATGTCTTTATACAAAAAATTATAAAGTATCAGCTAGTTTGAAAAATATGTTCTTTAAGTAAGTCTGTGATTATTTTGGGGGGCCATACACAATAGCACTCAGGACTTTATTCCTAGTCTGTGCTCAGGGATCATTTCTAGTGGGCTGGTGGGGATATATGTGGTGCAGTAGATCAAATCTGGGTTGAATACATGCAAGGAAAACACACAACGCACTGTATTGTCACTCTGGCCCCTCTTTAGTAAGTTTTGACCTATTTTAAAACTTATTTTTCTCTGAGATCTGAGGAATTCTGTATATATATAACATTAATAAATTATTATATTTTATTTAGAAATATTATTAGAACACATTGCCAAAACATGGATATGACATTATGCATTTATGACCTTAACATACAAAGTCATGAAACTTTCACCACCACCAAATTGTCCATGACTCTCCACCACTGTTCTTATGTCATTCTATTTGCCTCTTCTTTCCATCCCAAGACCCTACTATCATTGCTTGGTTAATTTGTTGAGTCACACCTCTGGTACTCAGAGCTTACTCCTAGTAATACACCAGATAGTATCCTTGTCATGTACAAAAATGCCTCAGGTTGGATCCTGGTAACCCATATAATCCTCAACACTTCCCAGGAATGGTATCAGAGTGCTGACTCAGGAATAAACCCTGACAACTATTAGGTGTGGCAAAAACACAAGTAAAAAAATCCCTAAACAGTTTCTCCCCTTGTTTCATTTCTCTGTATGCTATGGATAAGGAAGGTCATTAGGTATTTGTTTCTCTTCATCTGGTTTCATTTATGTAATATCGTCCAGTTTCATCAAAATTGTAGCAAACTGCAAGATTTTATCTTTCATTACATCTTCATAGTATTCCACAACTTCTTTATTCATTCATCTCCCATTGAACATTTTGATTGATTTTATTTTCTGGATACTTTGCTTAGCACTGCAGTGAACATAGGTGTGCATATTTGATATTTCAAGTTAATGTTTTGTGTTTTTAGTAGGTAATAAGAAGTGGAATCACTGGGTTCTAGTCTGAGTCTTCTTAGAAATATTTATACTGTTTTTCACTGAGGCTGTACCCAACAACATTCTTACCAAGTAAATTAGGGTTCATTGATAAACTGTTGACATTATTAATCGTATATGAATATTGTATATCATATTATTAATATTATCATAGTATGATCTTATTTAATGATAGAGGATAACCATTCAAGACACATTAAGCAAACTCATAAGTTATGTAAAAATTTCAATATGCTAAGGGTATTCAAAATTTTTATAAAATATTTTAATAGTAAAAATAATGACATTAGGTAGCAGGGCAAGATGACTGAATAGGGAGAATCTATGGTTTTATCCTCCAGAAATAACAGAGTATCTACATAATTTTTTATTATGAAACTTACCTGAAATCCTGACAAGAAAGCTCCTACAGCAAGGGACAAAAGGAAAGCATTCAGAGAGACACTCTCACCAAGAAAGAAACCCCAAAGTAGGGCAGCAAAATATAATCAGCAAGATATTTTGCAACACCAGGTACCTCAAGGTATTGATACTAATCTAACAATAAAAAAGGGAGGCAGGAGAATTTAGAGAATAAATTTGGATTGAATTTCAAGTCGATGCCACTATGGCAACCTCTCACAATCTTGCTGACATCTGTACTGGTGAATACCATATTGTACCTCACAATCAATAGTAACTGTCCTTGATGGCAGATCCTTTAGAATGCCACCCACCACAAAAAATACTCCAACTTTCTGGAAGCAAAAACAATTCTCAATTAGTTTCCTGTAAAAGACAAACTGACCCAGTTCCTGCAAATTCACATCTGAACTATAGCAAAAATTGGATCCTTGCTGATAGAAAGCACATATAAATACTTCTAAATCTAAATACTTCTAAATCATAACCATATTCCCTTGACTACCTACAGCCAGCTAGATTTGATTACCTGCAAGCTCTGAACTGCATGTTCAGTGTCCAGTTAAGACTCAAGTACAATCCTACTTTTAAAGTAAGAGAGGCATCAAGTTCCCAGACACCATGCAGCTCTATGTGATTACAGTAGCCAAACGGAAAGAAGATTGTGAAATTTCATTTGAAGGCACAGAAGAAAATAGCCAAGAAATTTTAAAAAATATAGAGAATTCTAAGTAAAAGCAGCAAGTGAAAAAGGTAAGTGTCACATATAAGAAAAGCCTTGGAAGACCACAAGCAACCTTCTCAGTAGAAACTCTATAGGCCATAAAGGACTTGAAAGATATATACAAATCACCGAATGGGAAAAATCCAAAGATAACTATTCTATCTTGATTTGTTATAAGTCAAGATATTTAGAAACTAATGGCTTCTCTATAGTTTAGGGAATTTATTTCCACTAAGCCTTCAGAATATTAAGGGATTTATATAAAAGTAAAATTAGTTCTTTTTATTTGTTTTTATTTAAAATAAAAGATGTGCATGCTTTTTATACTAGAAGCCCTGATTTGAGCAGTAGCACTGCCACATGGTGTACGAAGCAGGCTGATAAGAGTAACCGCTAAGCATCTGAGAAAGAAAGAAAAAAGAAAGAAAAAGGAAGGAAGGAAGGAAGGAAGGAAGGAAGGAAGGAAGGAAGGAAAAGAAAGAGACAGAGATACTGAAGGAGAGGGGAGAGATGAAGGGAAGGAGAATGGGAGGGAAGGAAGGAAACCCTGGGAATAGTAAGTTACCTAATTAAAAATCATAAACTGTGGGATAAAACGAGAGCAATAATAGGAACTTCTAGATCAAATTCAATGCTTATTATCTTTAAATTGAAAAGGGAATATAAACATAATAACTTAAATGTAAGCCCCACGACAATTCCATATAACTATTAAAAGAAACAAACAATAAAAATGGATGACCATCAGATATCTAAGTGTAGTGGATGAGAATAAGAGAAGTGCAATACAGAGACATACTACATTAAAACCTAGACTGCACACAGAAAAGGGCAACAAATTATTGTATATAAAATTCTAGTCAGCGAACTGGATTTGTCATCAAAAGAATAGATCCAGAAACAAAATTCAGTCTTTTTCAGTCTGTAGAGAACCCCCACTTTAGTACTAAAATATGTAGGCTCAGAAGAAAAAGTACAGAAATATAAAATACAAGCACATAAGGAAGGCATAGTCATGATTACGTAGGGAAGAAAATTACTTAGTTAAAAATGGTAAGTTCTAACAATTCTTTAAAAAAGACTTGCTATCCATACTCCTCAAGTTCTTCTAAAAGATTGAAGAAAGAGCATTCCTTCCAAACAGATTTCTATGAAGCTAACTTTACACCAATACCCAAAGCTGTTGTAGATAACACTAAAATTAATTTCAAGCCAATTTTACTATAAACATCAATGCGATAATGCACAATAAAAGTTTAGAAAACCAAATCCAACAACTTATGAAAGGTTCATTCATCATGATTACATGGTAATCATACCAGACATGCAAGCGTGTTTCAACATATGAAAATCAATCTAATGTACTATATCAACAAAAGAAAAGATAAAAAACATGATTTTATTGACCAATGCAGATAAGGAATTTGAAAATCTACAACACTCATTCATAGAAAACTTCTTTCAACAAAAGAGGTATAGAGGGAAAATTCTTCAAGATATATGCACACCTCTGTTCATTTTGACACTTAGTACAATAGCCAGACTGTAGAAACAACCCAGGTGTCTAATGATAAGAGTGAATAATGAAGTTGTAGCATAATATACAATCAATGCTACGAAGTCACAATGATGATATTATGAACTTGGCTGCAAATTGCATGCACCTGGAGCATCACATGTTAAATCAAAAGAACAAGGACAAATGCCAGCTGTTCTCACTAATTTGTGATATATAGAAAAACACGGCAAGGTAATAGTATGTACCAAACATTGGAAAACCCTTGGTCCTTGACTAAAAAAATGAAAAGAAGAAAACATAGGGGAGAAGCAAAAACAATAAGAAAACATAGGGGAGAAGCAAAAACAATGTGATGTGGATATAAAACAGGGGCAAGGATCATGGGATTTGGAATCTTTCGTGGTGTGTAGATGAGGTATCTGATACATCTAAATCACTAGATATATTTAAAACATTGCTGTAAATATGGGACTCAAACTTCAACAATTAAACCATGTCTTTCAAGAAGACAGGCTGTGGGATGAGAGGGCACAGCTTTGTAAATCACAGTTATTAATTTTTTTAAAAAATTAAACTTACTTTTGTTTTGAAGCTCAACTGTAAGCTGTCTCTCAAGATTTTCTCTAATTTCTCTTTCTCTGAAGAGCTCCATTCGTAGTTCCTTCTTTTCTTGCTGAAACTGCTTCTCCTGGATACGAGTGTTATCCAAAGCCACTTTCAATAGACCCTGTTGAAGCATACCAGATGACAAAAAGTTCATTCTATTTGTTTGATATCTCAAACATGAAAAAATTATGTAGTTAGTCATGCCTTATATTACATTTAGTTTACATATAGTAATATTGCATACCTGAACATTCATCAACAGTGTCTCCACAGAGGAAAAATTATCAGCATATATGAATGGTCCAGGGAACCCTTGAGGCAAGGCCTGCCCAGAAGTCAACTGGATGTTCTCCAAATGTGACCTCATCATTGGAACATTAACAGGCACTTCTGGAAAAAATTGTTAGAATAATCACATATTAGCAGCTCAGATCCTCGATATTCTTTTCTTTAACTTCTAATGAAATCTTATAAAGATCTTGTTCAGAAAACTAAATGATAATGGGAACAGAGATCTCGATCATCTCAAGGGTTATTGTGCATGCTTTTTATGTGGAATATCCTTGTTTGATCACTGGTATCACATGGTCTCCTAATTATCTCTGGGTGCAGCCCTGGATTCTCAAACCACCAAATGTGGCCACGGAGACTCTGGAGCACTGCAGCATTGCCTCAAAAATCCCTTATACTATTGACCACAAATAGCATCTGATTATTTCACCCTTGCACTCTAATGTAGTCCTGATTAGCTAAGAATCACCATGAGCTCCTGGATTCCTGAGCACCAATTTGGAGATTCCCACAATAAATTAAATTAAAATTAATGATGGAAAATTGATAATTGGGAAGTATGCCTATTTATCAATTGTCTCTGATTTCACAAGATAAAATTAGAAAAGAATCAATGAAATTTAACTACATTTCTGCTTAAAGATCGTGTAATTTGGAAAAGCAATCTTATTTCATGCTTAAGAATGTCTATAAAGAATTTTATCAATTTTGCACTATAGCACTGTACCACTGTCCTCCCTTTGTTCATTGATTTGCTTGAGTGGGCACCAGTAACATCTCACAACAAATTGTGAGACTTGTTACTGTTTTTGGCATGTTGGATACATCACAGGTAGCTTGCTAGGATTTGGGTGGAGGCGAGACACTCTCAGTAGCTTGACGGGCTCTTCAAAAGGGGTGGAGGAATGAACCCAAGTCGGCTGCGTGCTAGACAAACACCCTACCCGCTCCAGCTCATCCATTTTGCAATTCATAAAATTTCTTTTTCATTTTTCTCCTTAAATGTATGTAAGTCTATTAATTCATTAATAAGTATCCATTCCTTTTATGTTATAGTGAGATGCAATTTCACATAAATAAGATCATAGAGTCTGTGTCCAGTTTCTATCATTTAGCATGACTTTTTGATGTTCATTCATGTTATGCTAAGTTTCTTCTGTTTCATTGCATAAAAACATTCCGTTGAATACATACATTGCTCTTTGTTTAAGAATTTATTGGCTTTGTATTAATGCCAGTACTTCTTTTATTATGAACAATATTACTCCTGAAGTAAATATCACCTATGAAGTTAAAACACAAGTTGTATCTTTGTCCATTTCAAATATTATCTTCTCCCACATTCTCATCACATAAGCAAGATTCTCTATTAAATAGACACCAATACAATTTTTTTACTGATAGATTAGTTAAGACTGTCTTACATATAGGAATCAACTCTTATCTTCTGAAGTCAAACAATTTGACTTTTCCTAAACTATGTTTGTGAATATTTTATGTATATACAAAAACCAGAAAGGTTTTTTCTACAATTAGGAATGGAGATATTTGGGACATAAAAATTAAAATATTTCAAATATATGATCTTGATATTCAAACAAATTCTGTTATTACCTGGATTCAATAACAATACAAAATGGGGTAATTAGGGAATTTATAATTAAAAAATGCACCATAAACTTTTTATTTCAGTGTCTGGATACGAGAAAAATGTTAACATATACCTCTCTCTGGTGAGAAAACTTTTCAGTATTTCTCTATGTTATAAGACTCATTCATGTGGCCAGAAAGACAACTAAAATGTGTAAGGCACCTACCTTGGACATTATCACCCCCAGTGGTAAGATAACATTGGTATGTCCTTTTTCCCTTGCCACAGAGAGTATAGCTTTACTGAGTAATATCTGACACAATGCTCCCGAGGCACCCCTATTACTCTGTTGATGTGAATATAGCTCTAAACAGTTTAGGTTAAGATTGGCATGCTCTGTCTCCCTTGACAAAGGGAGCTTAGGTATATTGGGTTACACCCATCACAGTGCTCCTAAGGCACTTCCATTCCTCTGTGTTTATCTGTAACCTCTTCTTTGTGCTCTCTTCCCCAACCAGTTAATCACAATTTCCTCTAAGAATTACCTGTGACTTGTAAAGAGACATAATGTTTTTTTCTTCTGCTTATATTCTTTGCATAGTAACTTCAGACCAATGTCCTTTTTATATAGACAGAGGAAGACAGTTAATACTATACTTTTGTGACTTGAGAGATAGAATATTGGGAGTGAGTAATATTCATTCCTCGGCATCTGATTTCTCGACTTAAGCATCAGTTGCCCTTAGTTCTTAGTACTCTGAAAGAAGGGTCCTGACGAAGGACTGGATGGACCTAGAACAAGCTCTGAACTACTCTGGCATCGAAATGGGCCAGGCCAAGCACCATAATACATGTTAAAAAATTTATTGAATCACCGTGAGATAGTTACAAGCTTTCATGATTGTGTTACAATCACACAATGATCAAACTCCCTTCCCTCCACCAGTGCACATTCCCCATCACCAATATCCCCGGTATATTCCCACTTTCCCACCCTCCCGCTGCCTCCATGGCAGACATGATTCCCCAAAAACTCTCTCTAGTTTTGGGCATTATGTTTTGCAATACAGACACTGAGATGCTATCATGTTTGGTCCTTTATCTACTTTCTGCACACATCTCCCATCCCGACTGATTCCTCCAGCCATCTTTTACTTAGTGATCCCTTCGCTATTTCAGCTGCCTTCTCCCCTTGGCTCATAAAGAAGGCTTCCAGCTATGGAGCAATCTATCACTCCTGTGCATCTACTATCCTTAGGTGTCAGCCTCATGTCATGTTGTTTTATACTCCACAAATGAGTGCAGTCCTTCTATGTCTGTCCCTCTCTTTCTGACTCATTTCACTTAGCATGATACTCTCCATGCCTATTCAATTATAAGCAAAGTTCATGACTTCATCTCTCCTGACAGCAGCATAGTATTCCATTGTGTAGATGTACCAAAGTTTCTTTAACCAGTCATCTATTCAATAGCACTTAGCTTGTTTCCAGATTTTGGCTATTAAGCACCATAATACTTAACTATAAGTTAAAAGAGCATGGCCATGGACAAATTCTGTCACAATCCAAAAAGCATAAAGCAACAACATCTTGGAGAATGTCACATGCACACTTGAGAAGAATGTGTTTTCTGCTTTTTGAGGATGGGGTGTCCTGTATATATCTACTAAGACCCTTTCTTCCATTTCTTCTTTCAGATAAAGTATATCCTTGCTAAATTTGAGTCTTGATCTATTGAGAGGTAATAAAGTGGTGTTGAAATTTCCCAGTAGTTGCTTTAAGTATTTTGCTGGTCCCTCATCATCTGCATATATTTTTAGGTGTGTAAGTTTGTCCTGCAGTACAGTTTCCTTGATCAGTAAGAAATGACCTTCACTGTCTCTTGTGACCTTTTTCAGTCTGAAATCAATTCTGATACCAGAATGGCCTACCCAGTTTTTGATTGGAGTTGTTTGCCTGTAGAATTGTTTTCCAGCCTTTAACTCTGAGTCTGTGTTTGCTCTGACTACTCAGATGTGTTTCTTGCAGGCAACAGAATGTTGGGTTCAATTTTCTTATCCATCCTGCCACTCTGTGTCTTTTAATTGATGCATTTATCCCATTGATGTTGAGAGAGATTATTTTTATGGGGTTTTGTCCCATCTTTCTGCCAAAGTTTTGTATATTTGAGGGGCTAGTCTTGTCTTAAATAGCCCATTAAGTTCTTGCAACCATGGTTTTGAGTCTATAAATCCCTGAGCTATTGTTTGTCTGTGAAACTGTGTATTGTTCCTTCTGATGGCCCTCTCGTTGATCGTCGATTTGCTCGAGCGGGCCCAGTAACGTCTCCATTGGAGACTTTGTTGTTACTGTATCTGGCATATCAAATACTCTCGGTAGCTTGCCGGGCTCTCCGAGAGGGGCAGAGGAATCGAACTCGGGTCGGCCATGTTGGCTGCTTGTAAGGCGAACGCCCAACCCGAGATTTTAATTGGGTAAAGTATTTTTGATGAGGCATTTATTTTGTTGAGTTTTTTTTTATTATATCCCACCACTGTTTTCGGGCCCTGAAGGTTTCATCAGATAAGCTGGCTGTGAATCTTAAGGATGCTCCTTAAAGGCAGTTTCTTTCTTCGATCTTGCTGCTTTTAGAATTTTGCCCTTGGAAGCTTGCATCATGAGTTGAAGGGAGAAGGCAGATGGAATAGAGAAGGGATCACTAAGAAAATGATGGCTGGAAGAATCAGTCGGGATGAGAGATGTGTGCTGAAAGCAGATAAAGGACCAAACATGATGACCTCTCAGTGTCTGTATTTCAAACCATAATGCCCAAAAGTACAGAGAGAGTATGGGGAATATTGTTTGCCATGGAGTCAGGGGAAGGGTGGGAAAGGGGGTATACTGGGGAGATTGGTGGTGGGGAATGTACACTTTGCAACCCAAACACGAAAGCTTCTAAATTTCTCATAGTGATTCAATGAAATTTTTTAAAAAGGCAAAGACAGGATTAGGATCCTGTTGTGGTTAGGGAAGTAAAATATCGCTTGAGCATTGTAGTCTAAGATCTGTAGCTAGATACCCCCAGGAGAGCCATCCTATGAGCTTAGTGTATCTCTTACTGTGTCCATGCAAAGTGACTAATATTATTAAGAAGTAAAATTGAGATGTATTTTTAAATGGTTGTTGGACTAAGGAAAGGAGAAACAAACCCATAGATGATATTTCGCCCTTAGATAGGTCTTCTTGCTGAATGAGAGTTTCAGCTTCCCCTGAGGAATGGACCTTATATCCATTGATTGTATGACTATACCTATGTGTAATTGCTATCCCAACCCCCTCATGATTTAGGAGATAACTAAGGCTGTAAGAGGGGCAGAGAGAGAGAGAAGGTGGCAAGAAGAATGGAGGAGTAGGATCTGAACAAGAGGAATGAAGGAGAATGGGGGGGAAGAAAAATAAGGAGGAGAATGGAGATGAGATAGGAATAAACTGCAACTGATATCAACCAGCCTGGCTCTTAGTTCATCCTT